GGGGTTTCTCTTTCTAAGATAATGTCTCCAAAGACACCCGAAGAAAGAGAACGGATAGACCCAGAAAGGCATATTTTCACAAAGTTTCAGACCCAACACTTCAGTTTAACTTGAACAACCAATTTTTACAAAAAGACGATGAAAATCTGAACTTTCTAGTTCACCGGGCAATCCTTTGATTTTTTCAATGAAATTCGAACACAACACATATAACATCAGATTACTAATACTCACCAAAAATCACAGCAAAACACCAAGAATTTGATTTTTAATGATTTTTTAGTTTCTACCGAGAATTTCAAATCGACATTTGACCTAGCTACATACATCATTTCGACTTGAAATTTTTGCACCACATATAATACTATAAGAGGGTCATACAGTTCAATTTTCACAGCAATCGGACGAACACACAATTTATAATGATTTTTCAAAAGTTCAATAGCAATACCCGATTCAAAACTGCATAAATGACAAATTACTCAACAACAACGTCTAAGGCCTTCACCATGTGGCCAAAGACTTCAAATGTTCCAATAATCGATCATATCTCAAACCCTAACATGCAAATCATCTAAGGCTTAACACATACATCACATACACATATAAAAATAAGGTGGTTTTCAGCCTTGTACCGTTCTCGGGGAATTTGAACGAAAACAAGGGACGAACGGACGGGTTGCGATCGCGGCGGGGCTGCGAAACACGCTCGGCAACAAGCGTGGCTCGCATGCTCGATTTGCGGGGCAGCTGGGCAGCAGGCATGCTCAGCGGTAGCGGGTGAATGCTACTACGTGACTGCAGAGGTTCGTCTGCGGGGTCACTGGCGATGGCGAGGGGCAGCGCTGGTAACGGGCTTGCAACGCGATCGGGGAAAGGGGTCGACGACGGCACTGACCTCGCGAACAGGGCCAGCAGCGAACGGCAATGCGGGGCTTGCGACGGATAGCGACAGAGGCGATGCACGGCTGGACAAGGGCGGCGTCGCGATGGCCACGGCCGATGAGCGACGGCGGCGATCGGGCGTTGACAGCAAACGAAAAAATAGAGGAAGAGAGTGCGAGAGAGATGAGAGAAAATAGAGGAGGGTGGCTGCGGGGAGAAAAGATTTTTTATGAAAGAGGAGTCCAATCTCCCATATATAGAGTTAGGTCTAGCTTAGGGTTTTAGGAGTCTCCATAATTAAGCAAACTTGCCAAAACCAACACAAGGGGTCGGCCGGGTAGGGTGCGGGTCACGGGCGCGGCTCGCGGGCGCGGGTTGGGAGCCATGGGCACGACTAAGTGCTCAACTGGAAGCTCGGTTTGAAGAAATTAAAATAAATTAAAATAATATTTATTAATCATACAAAATATCCACATTTTTAATATTTATATAAATTCACAAAAAGGCACATAAAATTCATTTAGGCAATTAGAAAATTAAATATAAAACAACAAATAATAATAACAATTAACATTAATGGCAGCAATAATAATAATAACAATAATAATAATAATAATAATAATAATAATGATAATAATAATAATAATAATATTAATAATAATCCATTTATTCATAAACGAACGGGGCGTTACAGTCTACCCACATTACAAACAATTCCGACCTTGGAATTCGAAAACAAAACTAGAAAGCGATAAAAAAATACAAGAGGAATTCAGAACTCAAAGTTCGGATAACGCCTCCTGATATTGTCCTCCCTCTCCCAAGTCGCCTCGGTCTCATCGTGTCGGCTCCACTGCACCTTCACTAAGCTCACTGCCCGGTTCCTCAACTGGTGAACCTTCCGGTCCAAAATTACTGTCGGTATCTCCTCGTAGGTAAGGTCTTGCTCGACCTGCAGCTCGCCGAAGTCCACTACATGATCGGGGTTATGAACATATCTCCGAAGCATCGAGACATGGAACATGTCGTGCACACCCGACAAGTCTGGTGGTAAAGCCAGCCGATACGCTAAGTTCCCGACTCGATCGAGGATCTCAAACGACCCGATATAACGAAGTCTAAGTTTCCCCTTCTTCCCGAAGCGAATCACACCTCTCATGGGTGAAACCTTCAAGAAGACATGATCTCCGACTGCATAAACATGCTCTTGCCTCTTCCGGTCGGTATAGACCTTCTGCCTCTCCTGGGCAGACCTGATAGTCCTCTGAATCTCCTCAACTGTCGCAACAGTACTTTGGACAAAATCCGGGCTCGTAATCCTCCTCTCTCCAACCTCATCCCAATACAAAGGAGTCCGGACCTTACGTCCGTACAAAGCGACGTACGGGGCCATCTTGATCGAAGAGTGGTAGCTATTGTTGTAGTTCAGCTCGACTAGCAGATGGGAATACTCCCAAGTTAGGCTCCAGTCCAAGACCACAGCCCTCAAGATATCCTCCAAGTACTGAATCGCACGCTCTGACTGACCATCTGTCTCGGGGTGAAATGTTGTACTTAACTCCAACCTCGTCCCCATAGTTCGGTGCAACGTTCTCCAGAATTGACATGTAAACTTGGGATCTCGATCAGAAACAATCTCCATAGGCACTCCATGAAGCTTAACAATGTCCTTGACGAAAAATTCGGCGTAATTACTCGCCTTTATGGTCGTCTGGACTGGCAGAAAATGGGCAGACTTTGTAAGGTGATCCACTATCACCAAAATCGAATCATGCCCGACCCTCAATCTCGGCAGTCCTATAAGGAAATCCATGGTGATGCACTCCCACTTCCACTTTGGAACCTCAAGGGGCTGCAACAACCCTCTCGGTTTCTGGTGCTCAGCCTTCACTTGCTGACACACCAGGCACACATCCACGAACTTCGCTATCTGCCTCTTCATGCCACGCCACCAGAAAGACTTCCTCAAGTCCTGATACATCTTCGTGCTACCAGGATGGATGGTGTACGGAGCACTATGGGCCTCTCTCAGAATCTCTCTCCGCAGTTTCCATACCTTCGGAACACAAAGCCTACCCTCGAAGACCAAGGCCCCACCAGATGCGACTGCGAATTCACCAACTCTACCGGCTGCTGACAACTCCTTCATCCGGCATAAGAAACAGTCATCCAGTTGCTCAGCGACTATCCTCTCTCGAAGAGTCGGTCCCACAACTAAAGAGGCCAACATGCCCTCGGCTGCTGAAGTCAACTACACTGCCTCCAGCTGTAATCGCTCGAACTCCCAAAGAAGGACATCCTGCCTTGTAAACAAGCAAGATAGCTGGCCATAACTCCTTCGACTAAGGGCATCGGCTACCACATTAGCTTTCCCTGGGTGATAGCTAATGGTGCAGTCGTAGTCCTTGACCAGCTCCAACCATCTACGCTGCCTCATATTCAGCTCCTTCTGAGTGAAAATGTACTTTAGGCTCTTGTGGTCGGTAAAGATCTCACACTTACCTCCATAGAGGTAGTGCCGCCAAATCTTTAAGGTGTGAACAACTGCAGCTAACTCGAGATCATGAGTGGGGTAATTCTGCTCGTGAGGCCTCAGCTGCCTCGAAGAATAGGCTACGAATTTCCCCTGCTGCATAAGGACACATCCCAAACCCATCTTCGAAGAATCACTATAGATGGTGAACTCCAAAGTAGGGTCGGGTATAGATAGGACAGGCGCGGTAGTGAGTCTCCTCTTCAACTCCTGGAAACTCTCCTCGCACTGAGGACTCCAATCAAACCTCATGGCTTTCTTCGTAAGGTTGGTCAGCGGCTGGGCTAACTTCGAGAAGCCCTCGATAAACCTCATGTAGTATCCTGCTAACCCCAAGAAACTACGAAAATCTGCGGCACTTCTTGGCGTATGCTGTAATATCCCAACTTTTATCAGTATAATAATATTTCAGTTCCGATATTATTTTTCGGAGTTATTTAATTTCAGTTATTTCAGTCGAAATTACCGGAACTATTTTCGACGTATCGTTTACGTTCGAAATAATTTTGGTAATTTAGCATTATGTTTAATTAGATAATTAAACATAATTAAGTGATTAATTTAATTTAATCACGAGATTAGTAATGGTTCGGATTTTATTCCGAGTTCATGTTCGATGTCGTGCGTTACTCGGACCTTAGTTCATGTGCGCGAGCGTCGAGTGCGTGTCAAGTGTTCACGCCGAGCGAGTGCCGAGTGCGCGTGTTCGTCCGAGGTCCGTGCGCCACCCGCGTCCGAGAACGCCGCGCGATAAAGGTGGGCGGATTATCCGAAGCTTGCGTGAAGTCCGTGCGTCCATTTTGTCCAGGCTGGCATAAGTATCCGTGCGCCTTGTCCTCTAGCAGGCGGAGCATCCGAGGTGCGCATCCGGCCATCAACACCCGCGAGAATCCGCGCCCCATAGCCTCATTGTCCGTGCGCCTTGTCTTCTAGCCGACGGAGTCTCCAAGGCCGAGCATGTGGTGCGCATTTTGTCCCTTTGTCCGCATGATATCCGTGCCTTTTGGTCCATGATGACCGAGGCCTTCACGTGAGTTTTTCCCCCCTA